AAAAAGTGCAAAAGGAAATCTTGCACCTTAACCAAGTAATCAAAGTTAATATCACCAGTAATGGCACAAATGGAATTGTTTGCTATCAAATATAATGTGATAAGAACACATTACTTCTGTGAGATTTCAGCAAAAATAAATAAATTGAATCTTGAGGAAACAAGACAAACCTGAAGAAAAGGAGACAGATGATCTTGAATTGAATTCTTGAGTAATGCAAATTTTTCTTTCTTTTGCTATAAAAGATAGTATTAGGATAACTGTTGAAAAGTTAAATAAGGCCTGTAAATTACATAATAGCTGGTTATCAATGTTATTTTTCGTAGAATTTAATAACTACCAGGGTTTTGAAAGAGTGTCATTTTAGATAGAAATATACACTCAAGTATTTATGTCTGTAACTTTCTCAAAAATAGTTCAAGGGGAAATGCACACACACATATATTTATATATAGACAGATAATTAAGAAATATGGGACGGAGTATGGTGGCCCATGCCTGTAATCCCAGTGGCTCAGGAAGCTGAGGCAAAAGGATCGAGAGTTCAAAGCCAGCCTTAGCAAAAGCAAGGTTCTAAGCAACTCAATGGGACCCTGTCTCTAAATAAATTATAAAATAGGGCTGGGGATGTGGCTCAATGGCCGAATGCCCCCGAGTTCATTCCCTAGTACACCCTCCCCCTCCCAAAGAAATATAGAAAAATATTAGTGTTTGGTGAATATGAGTCAAGGGTCCATGGGGATTATTTGTGTGTGATCTCAGATAAATATCATTTACCTTCATTTCAGACAGTGCTCCAGTCTTACAAATGTAGAACACAGTGCTGTGCTAATTAGAATAAAAGCTAAGCTGCTGTAACAAATAGGTCTGGCAATCATAGGGGTAAGGAATAAAGAACTTTAATCTCATTCTCAAACAGTCCAGAATGGGTAGGTGGCCCATTTGTTCTTGCAGTCATTCAGGACTTCTTCTGTCTTTCTTGTTTATCTCTATTTCATAGGACTCTGTCCTCTTCTCCATGGTTGAGGCTACTCTGCAGATGTATCATGTTCTAGCTCATGAGAAGAGGTAAGAAAGTGGTAGAGCACATGTTTTAAGGCCTGGACTTGGAAGCAATACACATCACCTTTAACTTGTATTCCTGATGGTGAGAATTGAGTCACATGACCACACTTAATTGCTAAGGAAGGAACATGTGGTGGTAAAGATGCTAGGAACATGTTTGGGGTAGAAGCTGGTGATATGTTCAAGTAAAACTCTGTTGCCATGGAAAAAGAATGGCATCAGTTCCGTGGACTGATGCAAATCTTTGCCACACATATCTATGTAAATCTCTCATATTTTAGCATAGTTTTATTTACTTATGCATGTAAGCTGCTTGAGGACCCAGGACTATGCTTTCCCTTCTGAATCCTTACCATCTAGTTCACTGTTCCTCACATACAAAGCTCTCATTTTGTTTCTGTTGAGGATTGAAAGAGGCAAATTAAGTATGTGGGTTGGGAGAGCATGAAAAGGGCAAAGATGAGTGATACTTTCATTACCTAGTTCAGAAAGCAAAGCAGAACTCAACACACCAAGTTTGTATAAAGGCATTTGATGAAAAGCTTTGCTATGAAAAGAACAAAATGACATTAAAAAAAGGACAAAATTCAAATGTGATGCTCTATAATTTGGCTTCAAAGAAACAGTTGCCTAATTGTCACCAGGCAACCTCTTTTTTCTCCAAGTTCTGCATGAGAAGATAGAAAACAGGTGAACCTGCGATTATACACAAGTTTGAGACAGAGGTAGAGGACGTAGAAGCAGTTTTGAAGCATATGGGAGGAGCTGCTTGTATAAAACCCGATTTCCCAGCCACATGGTGGGATCGGAGGAGCAGGGGCCAGGAACCTTTGTTCTTTCGCAGACCCCACCCTTCACTCCCTATAAGAGGAGAGTTTCCAGCTGGCCTAAGTCAGCAGAAGTGAGCAGGTCTCCTATCCCAGGCGCCTGGAGACAACAGATGGCCAATAGGCAAAGCAAATTAATCAAGCCACCAAATGTTCTCAGATTTGTTTTTCAAATTCACCAGGCTAGCTACACATGGCTACTGAGGTTATTGTGCATCATATTATCTGACAGCAGTGTCCAGCCCTTAGATTTCTCTCACTGGCTCATGCTAAAGAACATG